AAAATAATATCGTTACAAATTGCTGACGTCATCGTAACATTAATCTAAATCAAACGTTATTAATATAAACATAAACGATAATAAATAAATATTTCAAGGGTTTTGACGATGCCATGAAAAAAAAACGAAATTTATGACGTCATAATTGCTGAGAAATTAATTTCGCATTAGCGCAGGGGTTTAGAGCGAAGAATAAAAAAAGTATTTAACAGATCGCGGTGTTCAAATCCGAGCGGAGACATTAAAAAAAAAAAAAAAAAAATGAAATTTTCATTTTTTTTTTCTTTGCTTTCCACTACTAATTGTTTATCATTCTTTTCTTTCGTGAATTCAATTAATTATAATCAATTCTTCCATTCGTTTTTTTTTTATTTTTTTCTGGCACCACGACGAAATTTTATTTTTTCAAAGAAGAAAAATGAAGCGCGAAATATATATATAATTTTTTAAAAATTGTTTTCAGAAGCGCCATGTTGTTTTTTTCATTTCGAATATTATTTAATTAAATTACTTTTTAAAAATTTGATTGCTTTTCAACAACAAAAAAATTCTGGCATTGTTTAGAAGTTTATAAATTAAAAATTTATTTTAAAAAAATGAAATACAAGAAAGTTTTTAATTTGCGAAAAATAAAAAAGAAGAAGAAGAGGAAGAACAAAAGAATAAAAAATAAAAAAAAAAAGTCTACAGGAAAATAAAAAAATAAAAAATAAAAATTTTAAATTATAGAAAAAAGATGAAATTTAAAACGAAAAAAAAATGTCGTTTTTTAGGCGCGATCAAAATTTAAAAACTAAAATCGATGAAAAATTAATAATAATATTTTTTTTTTTTTTGTTAAGGAAATTACGTACCTCCCTGCGGGAAAAATTGTGCAAAAATATGTTTGAATGAATCTTCATCCACCATTCCCGTCGGACATTCCTGTAAATGTAAGTGAAAAAAAATTTATTATCATCATCATCATCATCATCATCATCATCATTATTAACAAAAAAGGAAAAAAGAAAAAAAAAAAAGGGAATTTACAGTTCGCATGAAAAACTTCATTTTTGAAAATATAATTCTCTTTTTTTTTCTTTTCTTTTCTTTTTTCTTTTTTCTTTTAAAGACGTAAAAAATAATAAAACTTTTTTTTTTTTCTTATATAATTGCCAACATTTGAAAATAATTTATTTTTTATTTTTTCCGTTTTTAAAAATAAAAAAAAAATTTAATTCTTTATTAATATTATCATCATCATCATCATCACATTAAATTTTAAGTAATTATCGAATTAGGAAGAGGAAAAAAAAAAGAAAGAAAAGTTTTGAAAATTTATTGATTATTATTTTTTTAATGGATTTCAACGGTTTTACGTTAATAATATTTTGAACGTGTAAAAAAAAAATTTTTTTTTTTTCTCGAATGTTGGCTACGATAAATAATTTTATTTATTTTTGTTATTATTATTATTATTATTATTATACTTCCAACCGATACAAAATTTATTTACTTGTAAGCAAAAAAAAAAAAAGAAAAGGATTGTTTTTATTGAAAATAACGGTTTTTTATTCCGGAATGTTGAACGAAAAGTCGGTTGATCGCCGTGAACGCGCGTGTGACGTAATATTATTATATTTTATTAAAAGTATTAGAAACGTTTAAATATCGATAAATCGATCTATTTCGTTCCATTGCGGCCCCCCACCATATTAAAATTTTTATTAAATTTTATTATTTACGGAAATTTTTTTTCTGTCTCCCTTTCGAAACATTTTTTTTCGTGCCCTTAGGAAATGTTAAGAAACGTAATGGCGCAAATATGACGTCATCATGTATATTTCCAATTAATAACAAACAATGTTGTCAATTAACGAAAACGATTTTCCATTTTTTTTTTCGAAATGTATTAAACGGGGGGGGGGGAATAACCGATACGGGATGAAAAACGTTAATTGTACAATTAAATTTTTTTTTTGTTAATTAGCAATTCGTTCACTCACGCGTGAAATTTTTTTTTTTTTTTTGAACGCCATGATGATATTTTTCCGTTTTTTAATATTTTACGATTCCGCCATTTTTTTTCTTTTAACTCTCATTTTCTCTTAAGGATAGACGATTCGAGAACGATGAATTTTTCATTGAAACGTCACGTCAATTATTTTTTTTTATTTCATTTCGTAGTAAAGGAAAGAAAAAATGTCGAGACGTGGTAAATTTTACGGGGGGAAAAAAAGAAAAAAAAGAGAAAATTTTGTTTTCGAAAAAATGGTGTTGGTGAAACCCTAAAACTTTTACTCGGGTAAAAAAAAATAGGTTTTTTTTTTTTTTTTTTTTTTTTTTTTTTTTTTTTATAAACCATTGGCAAGTTTTTACAAACGAAAACTACAATTTACCATTTTTAAATTTTGTCACACAGTCCGTATAATTCTCTCGGGTGCATTAATCTTAAATCTTTACTATCTTATGGTTAGTTCTCCTGACACGTTTATTATCACACATTGAAATGTCTTGTATTTATCTTTTGAACTAAACTTTAACCATCACATTTACGTTTAGGCGTTTTTTTTTCTTCTCTTTCTCTCTTTTTTTTTTTTTTTCTACATTTCTTCGTTTGACAAATCGCTAAAAATAAATTATAAGTCTTGTGCCACTTTTTTAATTTCACGACAAATTTTTTTTCGGTTTTTCTTTTTTTTTTTGCCTTTCACGTGATTTATTCGTATAATTTATTTTTTCAATTTAAACGATCGAAAAAGGGAGAAAAATTGTTTGTTTTTTTTTTTTTTGTTTTTCCTTTTAAAAACGCTTTTTCGTTTGAACGGACAAAACTTTTATGGTTATCCACATAAAGCAAAATAATTTTTTCATTTCATTTCATCATATTTTTCCCGAAAAATAATAGAACGACAGGGTGCCAACAAAACCAATAATCATACCACCATTTGGCATAAAATCAAGGAAATGTTTTTTTTTTTTTTTTCTCTCTCTCCCATTACTTTTCTTTTCTTCTCATTTCTATTCAACCGAAAATCTAAATCCAAATGCACTATTATTATTATTATTTTTTAAATATCTGCTGACACGTTAAAATTTTTAATTTATTTACGTTAGCAAAAAAAAAAAAAAATCAAAATACCATTTCCGTCGCATTTTTCAAACGGTTTTAATTTATTATAATTTTTTTTTTTTACTTTTTCATACGTAAATATATTTAATTTTAAAAATCGACGTGAATTTCGGTCGTGGATAAAGAAAAAAAAAAAATGGAGGATTTTTTTATGTAAAAAAAAAAATTTTTTTTTTTCTAAAGTTGTCAAATGATAAAATTTCGTGACAGGTAATTAAATGAAAACTCGGTCAATCATCTCTCATAATTTAATTAGAATACCGTTTCGTTTGAAAAAATAATAATAATAATAAAAACCCACCGGAAATTTTTTACTTTTAACGGAAATGGCTAAATTTTAAGTAAAATAAAACTATTCCAAATTAACTAAAACAAAATTTTAATTAAAAAAAAAAAAAAAAAGATGAAAAGGATTTAAAATGTAAAATAATAATAATAATAATAATATGAGAGAGTGGTCGTAAAAGAAGATTATTATTATACAAAAAAAAGAAAAAAAATTATTCATTTACTCTCCGTTTATTTTTTGCGAATTTTCCAGAATGGGGGGGAGGGGGTGACAGAGGACTAATAATAATAATAATATTCGATTGATGAGAGACAAAGTTTGAAAATTACATTTTAAAAAAAATTTATTTATTTATTTTTTGAAAGAGAGAGAGAGAGAGAGAGGGGGGAAATATAGTGACGTGTTAGAGTAATTTAAAAAAAAAAAAAAAGACAAACCGGATATTTGAACTTCCGTTTTCGAAAAATTAAAAAAAAAAGTTTTTTTTTTGTCTTAACTTACTTTAAGTATCATCGAGTTGAATCGTTACGACATTATTCGTTTTTCCCCTTATTTTTCCGTTAAAAAAAATTAATTCCGTCATTTTACAAAAGCGCGTTTTTTAAAATTAATTAAATTAATTTGCCAGTATTTCGTTTTATTTTTTTTGGTTAAAATCATCGTCGAATTCCCGCAGATCTTAAATTATTCAAAAAATAAAACTCACCGCCGCCATTTTGTTTTTTTT